CTCCTAATGAGGGCCCGGGGCTGGCCCTTCATTAACGGACATGGGTGGGTTTCGCTCTCTGTGCCCCCAGATTCGCCTGTCCCCCGCCTCGCCGTTAGAGGCAGAGACGGGACACAATGTCGCCCATTGTGCTGCCCAGCCCCTCACCCGAGGGGACACGGATGGGACCCCGCGCACAGCCCGGGGTCGTGGATGCTGACCCGGTGCCAAAGAGCCTGCTGGACAGGGGCCGTGGTTTGGCTTTTTCCCACTGCGGCTTGTGAAGGTGCTTTTGGAAACCCAAGCATCATCAAATCTTCACAGAAAGTACTGCTAAGGTTAGGAGCAAACTAACCAGGCGACTCCTAGTTCAAACAGCAGAATTCAACCCAAAAGGTGGAAAAGAGAGGAATTGTACAGAGAATAGCCACAAAAAAAAAAAAAAAAAAAAAAAAAAAAAAAAAACCTTGCACGGGTCAAAGCCTACAAAAACAATCTCATCACAGTGTTACACTTTCATATGACTGGCATGGCAATTTATCCAAGAAAAAGTATTTCCAGGTTCTGTTGCAACAAGTCCACATCACTTCATCCCCAGTGGTCTGCCAGGGATCTGCCCTGCAGCTATTTTAAATTGTGCTGCTAATAACAATTCATTACAGTTGATAGAACTGGGAGACTTGCCTTTTATTTTGCAATTAGACATAAAGGCTCTGATCTGGCAAATGCTCTGCACTGTATGTGAGTAGTTCTTCTGAAGTCATCTGGGACTGTTCATGTGCTTAACATTAAGCCCGTGTGGGTTTGCAGGATCAAGGTCTGAGATGGGATCATCTCTAAGGATGTTTGTTTACCTGCTCTGTTCTGTATTTCCTAGATTCATGACAGCACCCTTCAAAACCATTTCGCTGGGAAGAGCTGGTGTGTCTCGAATCAGCTGGGCACAGCTCACAAGTACCATTCCGAAACTGAGTGATTCTTCCTGTAAACAAAAGTTCAGGAGCTTGATTCGGGAAGACATGACAGCACTGGGGACGTTGCACTGCAAACTGTTCAGCTGTGTGAGCCTGTGTGTACTGAGGCGTTAATGCAGAACTGTTGGGCATTGGGCCCAGAACAGATGTGATGATGAGTGAGAGCAAAGAGACGGGGAGGAAGGAGCAGAAGAAGAAAGAACATTTTAGGCTTCTCAGTTCCTGCCTAGACAACCACTGCTTCCAAAACCTGGGCACCGTCCCCATTTGCCTCTTATCAGGAGAAAGTAGGAAGCAACATGATCTGTGGAGAAAATGAACATATTTGTTTTTTTCATTTGCCAATCATGCAAACAATAGCTGTTTGTAGGTAAATAATCCTAGGTCTGCATCGCCAGATCAATGCAGGGAGTGGTTCCCATCAGCTCTGCAGTGCCAGACACACTGAATGGTTTGTAAGGAAACAGGTCCTTGAACTTCTCCATGGCACAGACACTATCTTAGTAGGTTATCTCACACTTGCTTCTGTTCCTGCTCCCATTCTCCTCATCTTCCAATGATTGGCCTGGGAGGGAGAAGTGAAGACTAGAGGAAATAGACCTTCAAAAAAAGGCTTCAAAATGTTCATCTGTTTGTTATTTCCTTGCCACTTACTTTTCCAATTTACTTTTGGAGCCAGGCTAGCTAAAGGAAAGGCCAATCCTTGTGCACAGTCGCAGTTTAATACCTACAATATGCATGAAGAAAATTAATTTGACTGAGGATTTTGCTTCATGAAGTAATTACAGCACGAAGCATAAAAAGGCTGTGTTTTGTCTTGACCCGCCAAAGTCCTGGTTTGCATCATGAGGTCATGTTTGGGATTACAAATGTTTGCACAAACAGCATCTTACAGTATGTCACATCACCTCTCTCCACCTTTACTAACAGGACTTTTGGAGGTGGAGAGGAGCAGGAAAATAAACTGTTCTTCAGTCACAGCCATATTAAAATTGAAGCTTAAACCCACAAGGCACGAGAAGGGCAACACAAATATGGAAGGGTGCTGAGTTCATGGGGCTGCTCACAATCCAAAATATATCCCATGTCTACAACCCCTCTCTACTACTCTCAGTGGAGAAGGGCTGTAGTAGGCACCAGCACAGACCAATTGAGGTTGGATTGATACAAAAAAAACCCATAAGACATAAACATAAAAACATAAAAACACATAAGACATACCATTTCCATGGTATCTTCAAGACAGGGTGATCTTTTTTATTTTGACCTTTTAAGGAACCTCTCTGGATTCAAATCCTTTTGAAAATGTATGTGAATACTTTGATAAACTGAGTAGAGCTAGTTTTGGTAAAGAATGGGAGATTTTTTCATTAATTTGGTGATATTTGCAATGTGTTTCACAACTGAAGGCAGCAGTTCAATTATCACTATCTTGCAACCAGAATATATTTGGAAAAACAAAGCAAATCAAAATGTGCTGGCAAAGCACATCTCACTGCCTTCACATGGCCAGTCCTTATCAATCAGTCACTTCTGCTACCAGGGAGCCCATAAAGTGCCCATCACACCACAGTTCAAAACAGTCCATTCTGCTACTAACCCATCTCACAGCAAATTTGGTCAAGACTGATGAAAAGTATGGATTTTAAGTTTCCTCAGAAGAATTAACTCAAACTCTAGAGGACTACCCATGGGAAATAATAGTTACAGGAATGGTAAATGTACAAAAACCAGAAAATTCACAGATTAAAGTCACTGGGAAGCAATGCACTTACCAGCACTTTCTGCCTTACCTGGGTGTTTAGGTGTGAGAATTTCAGATCCACCCTGTGCAATGACTGCTGGAGTTGAGCTCTGAATATCTGTCATCAGAGCACTCAGGCTGTGGGTGACTCACATCGGGAAACCGAAATTATGAAGACCCTTTTTTTATTCATCCCTGTCTGCCTTCTTTCCTCACTGATAATACAGGGTCAGCATCTTCTCAAAATGACTGGAAAAGGAAACAGTGCATGTGAAACTCTCAGACACTGCTGTCATGAGCACCATGGAAAAACCATACGGAAATGAATAATTTTGTGCCCAAAGCACAGTTTGAATAACAGGCAGTAAAAAGCCCCTTCGCTGCACATTAAACAAGAGGAGAATAAATCATGAGGGGAGCTGCTCCCTCAGGAGCAGCAACCATTGCCAATGCAGAGTGAGGGGGATGCCTGTAGGAAAAGGGTGTGGATAACTCAATTACAGTTCATCTGGATGAGGAAAACCAGGCAAATTCTGGACACTCCAGGCTGCTGAATGCTGGAGCGTAGAGCCTCAGTAGCCTTTCAGAGTATATTGTTTCACACACGTATTTATGTTTGTGTGTGCATGGGCTTCGGGGTATATGGAGAATAAGTGGGATAAGCTTTGGCTTTGTGCCAGGTTGACTACTCTTCACAGCTACAGCACTGCTGGTCAGCTGGAAGCACAGGCTGAGGTCTAGAAGAAAAAAAAATCTTTGAAATATCAACTGATCAGTTTGTAGAGTATCTGTCAATGGCTACAGCACCACTGGCTGGGCAAACAGAGCCCTCTAATGTGTGTCCCACTGCCAAATCTCTTCATCCATGGGGCAGGATGTCAAAGGGGTCTAGAAACACCTTATTTCCAGGTAGTGTGGAGATGTCTTCACTGACCCTCTGTATCCCTGCACTCCTGGGCTGGAGCCAGGGCATAGGATACAGCAGAGTGTATTTGGAGGAGTTACCAGCAGCAATATCCCATTCATTAAGGTTAAATAAGGTTGGGAAGTAAGAGAAATGAATTCCTACAGGGACACTTGGCATCCCTAAGAGACAGGGAGACTGTTATATCATAGCAGGAACATGTCCTAGGACTGCACTTGGCACAGACAGGCAGGACAGCACAGAGAGCTGTGCTCAGGTCTCACTCATGGTGGCAAATTTAAGAGTGCACATGTCCACAGTGCACAGTGGGAAGGTGATCTCTGTTCTGCTTGGCAGAGCAGAGCTGGTGTACTGACAGTGTAAAAACTCTCTGAGATACAGCTCTGCTGAGCAGCTCCAGGGAATACACAGCCATTGCTGTCACTGCAGCAGGTTAAGGACACATTGCTGAGATCTCTGCAACAGCAGAACACAGCAGGGTGACTCGGTGGTGTGACCTCTCATCAATGGACGCTTTTCCTCGTGCCTGTGTTTCTGACACATTGATCCTGTTGCAAACCTAGGTAAAACCCATTTTTTCAGTCCCTCTATCCTAGTGGTGGCATGGCACTCCTGAGGCCCAGGAATGAATGTAAAACATCTCACACTTGTTCTGATCAGGGCTCTGCTGATGCATTTAAAGCTTCTCCCACTCAGAAGTCTGGAGATGTATTTCCACCTCTGTGGATCTGGTAGAAGCACAAAAGACACATCTGGTGACAAAAGACTTATCTCTTCTGGGGCTGGTGGACTTCCTGCTTATGCCAAGATTGAGTTTTTCCAACAAGGGACCAGTCAGTGTCCACAAAACTCTTTGACAGCAGAACATTCTGTTACTCTTCCTGTGACGTTATCAGAGGAAACGCTGCACACAGTTATGTATATCCCTTAAAGTCTATTATTTCAGCTCATTTGTATGTTGCTGATTCACTTTGTACAACCTTTTAAAAGTCTCACACATCCCCAAACCCTGTACATGGAATTTCTGCCTTAGATGTATCTCACACTACACCAACATTAACTCAAAGATGCAATAATTTTCCCAGGAGAGTCCTGTATAAAATCTTTCTCATCAGAGATAAGACACAAGGTCATTCCTCATGAGACAACCCACTGGAATGACTCTTTAGATACTGCTTATTCTGGAACTTCTTATTCATCATTCTCCTCATCCTGATATTTTGTCCTCTAATTGCACAAGTACTTTCCACTTCCACTGAGTGTTTCTGTGGGCAAGGTACGGACAGAAATGGATACACTCTTCATTGGGACTAGGAATACATTGGGATTTGGCTAAGAGATTTCTTCTAGCTTGCGTACATTTGTAACTTTTGTGGGAAATAGCAACTGGACAGCTAAAAACAGACAGCTTAGAAATAAATATTTCTGCACCAATCACCATCAGATAGGTTTTCACCTGGGCAGAGGATCTCCAAAAACATCCTCAAAGCTGCAGGGAGTGGGATATGATTCATCAAGGTACTTTCCCTTCTGAATCAGCAGTAAATCTACGCCACTGTGATATCACGGGCTATCTGCCTTTGGAAGCTCTGAGTATTTTTAAGTATTCTAACAGCAAAGTGCTGACTATTGCTGGGGATTACAGATTCTGCAGAACATTTTGGAAGATAACTTCTGGCATCTTGCCACTTGTTATATGGAAAATATGTTGTATTATCTTCCATGTGTGTGGGGGTGTGAGGGTGCTCCGAGTGTCCTGGCCCTCAGCCTGCAAAGACTTACACATATTTTATGCAGAATAAAGTTAAGCAATACATAATGAACTTGTTCAGGCTCAGAGCCTAGATCTGTCACTTAAGACATGTTCCATATCCTTCAGGACTTCTCGAAAGACAGCATCTTTCTCAGCACTCCAAGTATGCTACTGTGAGCACCATGCTGGAGTGGGACTCAAGTTATTATATGCTATTATCAGTGTAGGACTTTGCAGTGGAAGGGCCTGGTCCTGCCCCAGTTGGCTGGAGTCCTTTGACTGGGATAGTCAGACTGGGATGGTGAAACTGGTCCCAGACTTCTGTACCCACACAGGAATGTGGAGAAGCTGCTGTCAGATGCACATCAGACATTTGATGTCATGTTCTTCTCTTATTATCAGTCCTCAAAAGATCTCCAGAGGCACTGAGTTAAGGATGAGGTGTAGCAGGTTGAGGTAAGGATGTCAGGGCACCAGGAATAGCAGAAAAAGACCCTTCTTGCTGGGAGACAGTGGTTTTATTCCCTGCAAGGGTCCTCCCATGGATGACTTCTGGGTGGGTTTTGGTAGGACGCAGAAGCAGAAGGCAGCAGAGGGCACATCCTCCCATGCCCACCCCAGTGTCATTCTTAAGGGAAGCCAGGGTGGCTGCTCTACTCCCCAAAGCCCATCTGGGCACATCCAGCTCCCCTCACTCACTGCCCTCGGCTGCGGGGAGCCCTGAGGGAGCCCTATGGGGAGCCCTCGGGAGTCCCGTGGGGAGCAATGTCAGAGCCGTGTGTGGAGCTCTGAGGGAGCCCTGCAGGATTGCGGGGAACAGCACGGGGAGCCCTGAGGGAGCAATGTCCGAGCCCTTTAGGGAGCCCTGAGGGACTCCGTGGAAAGCCTGAAGGGAACCGTTTATGGCCTGAGGCGAATCCTGAGTAGAATCTCTTGCAACCCCGTGGAGAGCTCTTTGGAAGCCCTTTGGGATCCTGAGGGGAATCCTTTGGGATCCTGCGAGTCGCCCTTCGGGAGCCCTTTGTGACCCCTGTGGGGACAGCGGGGCCGGAGCACTGTGGGGGCCCTGAGGCGGCGCGCGGG